GGCGTGTAAACTTTTCATTTTTACTCCAGACGGAGATAGATCTCAGTTCTCTGCAGAGCTATTTATTAAATCAGTTGGAAGGTTGCGAGAAAAGGGGAAGGGGGAGGGGGAAGGGAGGTATGAAGTTTAATGACATAATATTAGCACAATTAGCTCATTTCAAAGGCTTTGTGCTTAAAGTAAAGAGGAAGGCTGAAAGATAGGAAAAGGTGGACAGGATGACCACAGCAAATGCCACACACGTCCTTTACAGAAATGATGTTGATGTGTGCTGTTGTAACATGAACAGACTGCGTGCTTTGCTGGGGCATGATAGTAGTTAGCTCCAGGTGTACTGGAAAGGGGGGGGGGGGGGGTGTTACAGAAGAGAAGACTGATGTCTCAAAGTCAATGCTAGAAACTAGAAACGTAAGCATCAGCGACCATTGGGAAACAAACCTCTTTGCAAAACTCTGAGATCACTCTAAAAAAATACAATAATTTCAGCTTTATCAAACAACTTCTTAGGACGTAATTCTGCACTAAAAGGAGAAGGAGCAGAAGAAGAAGACGAAGAAGAACAAGAACCAGAAGAAGAAGAAAAGGAAAAATCAGGAGAAGCAGGAGAAGCAGCAGCAGCAGCAACAACAGCATCCTCACCCTAATCTTCTGCGACAGCTCCTCCCAGCGCTGGTTGATATGCGACAGCTCAGGCTCCACCATGCGGTTGTAGCAGTCGCTCTTGGACATGAGGTCGATGGCCTGGTCTCGGATCTCGTCCACCTGGCTCCGCAGGTCGTTCATCTGTTTCTGCATCGTCTGAGCAAAGCGGGGACAAAACACAAGGTTATCTCTAAACGACGCCCAATCATGAAAATAATAGTACTAGTAATAACAATAATGATAATCATAACAATCATAATAACAATAATAATAATAATAACAATAATAACAAATACAATTAAAAAAAAAAATTTTTTTAAGATAAATAATTTATGATAATGATAATAATACTACTACTACTACTACTACTAATAATAAGGGTAATAATGACGATAATAATGATAATAATAATAGTAATAATAATAATAATAATAATAATAATATTAATAATAATGCGGATAATTTCTTCAGTGCCCACTCCTGTACAATACAGCTCTGGGTGCTTTACAATACCAGCATACAATAATTACAATGAGTCCATCAAAGTCTGACAATAACCAACACATCCGCAGTAGAGAATATTTCTCAAGTGAAATAGAAGAATGAGAAGAAGGTTAGAATAACTTGTAGCTTATGCTTTTATTGCATTGTATATTTTTAGTGAACACATTTTCAACCTCACTGCGAGACTGTTTTTCTGGTATAAAATTTTACACATATGCATTTATATCATATATATAATACTTTGTTTTACGTACACATTTGTGTCGATTAATTTTTAAGATGTGATGTCTTTTTCATTGTAATGCGCATTGAGCATCTTTAAGGAAATGGAAATGCGCAGTATAAATGCTATTTATTATTATTATTATTATTATGCTATGGCCAGTGAGACAACTCTGGCAGAGAAAAGTTTGCCACATTTTGAGCATTCAAAAGCTTCAGTTCCTCTTGTGGGCTTCTCTCTTGGTTTCAGCATATCTAGTTTGCAAAGCCTCATGTGATTTGCTGCCCACTGTGACTGCTGCTCTCCAGCTGAGTCTGTCAGGAGCTAGGCTCTCCCATGAAGAAGGGTTTATGTTGAAGTCCTTCAGAGATATTTTTAGGGTGTATTTGTAGCACTTTTCCGGTGCACTAACCTTACGCTTCCCTGAGAACTGTTCAGAACAGAATATTGCTTTTGGGATTCTGAAATCAAGCAATCTTACATGGCCTGCTCACTGACGGTAAGTACTTTGGAGCTAAGAAAACAGGCTCTCAGCATTTTCTCATTTGAGAACTTCGGTGTCCGGTACTTTATTCTTGTCAGTTTGATAGTGTTTGAACGCGTGAAATCCGCAGCTCGCACTGTATGCTTCCGCGGAAGCCGAGAATGTTTCAGAGTGTTCTCAGAGGGTCTGCTGGGGTAATAATAGTTGTAAAGGGCATAGAGCATGCTCTTGAGCGTGGATTTGCGCTATATAAATGCTATTATTATTATTATTATTATTATTCTGCCATTTGATGCTAAGAGTTCTGATACACTCCCTGTGTACATGCTACGCTCTTTAGATAAACGCTAACACATAAGTAGACATCCATAATATAATAATAATAAAAAATTAGGAAGAGACAAATTCAGCTCCTCAGACACCTGAATAAACCCGCCGACCTTGAACCTACAGTTCGTGGTTACCTTGAATCTACATCCCCTGGTCACCTTGAACCTACATCCCCTGGTCACATTGAACCTACATCCCCTGGTCACCTTGAACCTACATCCCCTGGTCACCTTGACACAGCCCGTGGTTACCTTGAACCTACAGTTGGTGGTCACCTTGAACCTACAGTTGGAGGTCACCTTGAACCTACAGTTGGTGGTTACCTTGAACCTACATCCCCTGGTCACCTTGAACCTACAGTTGGTGGTCACCTTGAACCTACAGATGGTGGTCACCTTGAACCTACAGATGGTGGTCACCTTGAACCTACAGTTGGTGGTCACCTTGAACCTACAGTTGGTGGTCACCTTGAACCTACAGTTCGTGATTACCTTGAACCTACATCCCCTGGTCACCTTGAACCTACATCCCCTGGTCACCTTGACACAGCCCGTGGTTACCTTGAACCTACAGTTGGTGGTCACCTTGAACCTACATCCCCTGGTCACCTTGAACCTACATCCCCTGGTCACCTTGACACAGCCCGTGGTTACCTTGAACCTACAGTTGGTGGTCACCTTGAACCTACAGTTGGAGGTCACCTTGAACCTACAGTTGGTGGTTACCTTGAACCTACATCCCCTGGTCACCTTGAACCTACAGTTGGTGGTCACCTTGAACCTACAGATGGTGGTCACCTTGAACCTACAGATGGTGGTCACCTTGAACCTACAGTTGGTGGTCACCTTGAACCTACAGTTGGTGGTCACCTTGAACCTACAGTTCGTGATTACCTTGAACCTACATCCCCTGGTCACCTTGAACCTACATCCCCTGGTCACCTTGAACCTACATCCCCTGGTCACCTTGAACCTACATCCCCTGGTCACCTTGAACCTACATCCCCTGGTCACCTTGAACCTACATCCCCTGGTCACCTTGAACCTACATCCCCTGTTCACCTTGAACCTACATCCCCTGGTCACCTTGAACCTACATCCCCTGGTCACCTTGAACCTACATCCCCTGGTCACCTTGAACCTACATCCCCTGGTCACCTTGAACCTACATCCCCTGGTCACCTTGAACCTACATCCCCTGGTCACCTTGAACCTACATCCCGTGATTACCTTGATGGTTTCCCTGTGCGGGGTCAGGCGTTGCTGTTGCTCAGACAGCCGGCTGTGAGCGCCCACGATCGTCTCCGCCCGCCCCAGCCACTCTTTGATCTTCATGATCTGCGTCTGGAAGTCCACAAACTGGGTCTCCAGGGCAAGCGTATTCTCCTGGGGGAAAAAGCACACAAGGAATACTTCAGTTTCCGTTCTAGTAAGAGTTTTTACAGCACTTGCAACACAACAACCTGCTCTTACCACCACCATTCCAACACAACAACCTGCTCTTACCACCATCATTCCAACACAACAACCTGCTCTTACCACCACCATTCCAACACAACAACCTGCAACCAATTTTCTCTTTAACGATGGTGGTGACGACTGATGGTGATGACGACTGATGGTGGTGACGACTGTGTATGAGAAATCCTTGCAACACATAACATGTTCACCAATAAGACACTGACAGACTTATCTGATGCTGTGAGCAAGCTGTACTTACTATCAGAATAATGATTCTACAAACAAAATCTTTTCTGCTCCAGTGATTCGATATTTGAGGTGAACAAACAACGAAATCTGGTTCAGACAATGCCACCAAACTCAGCAGTGGATTTTGGCAGTCACAGGAAGGAACAATGCCCCACAAGTGGGCTGATAGAATCCACATTGTAAATGATTGACTTTATCTAGCTGATAGAATCCCCATTGTAAATGACTGACTTCATCAAGCTGATAGAATCCAAATTGTAAATGACTGACTTCATCTAGCTGATAGAATCCAAATTGTAAATGATTGACTTCATCTCCCATGACTTGTGGGTGCTTGGAGGAGATGTGCTATGGACCAAACCACAGAGGTCGTTACATATGTGACTATGTGGCAAAGTGCCGCCCTCCAGAGGAGCCCAGCCACAGAAAAAGAAGGTGGTTAGAGGGCACCACTGGTAGATCCTACTTCTTGTCTTTCCTACTTCTCGTCTTTCCCTCTGTCGTTTTTGCTTCAGATGAGTTATTTCCTTAGCTTGAGGGTCCGTGGAAACTAAAAATGTACATTTTTTGTGCCTTTTATCAACATTTTTCTGTACAATCCACACAGAATTGTGTTCTCTAATGGGCATGAAAAGTGTTGAAGCAAAAATCAAGGCATCCATAAAAATTCCCTAATCTGCGGGGAAAATGCCACTATTTTTTTCACTCTGACTATTTCGACGAGCGCCTGGTTTCCCCACGCTGCCTCCCATGTTACTCCGTGCGGGGAGAGAGGACATTTGTCCTACCTGGACCTTGGTCTTGTGTTTGACCAGTCTCTGCGACAACTCATGCATGTCCTGGGTCAGCTGGCGGGCGTGGTCCCGCGACTCCCTCACGTCCACCTCATCTGACAAGTCCTGCAGCTGGTGAATGAGGTCGTGAACCGAGGCTAGCGCCGCTTCTTTCTGGACCACTTCCTCCTGGCTGGCCTGATGGGGGGAGAAAAACACAGGTTTTGTCTGACACATGACACATGACACACCGACACAGGTTTTGTCTGACACACTGACAGTGACACATGACACACCGACACAGGTTTTTGTCGGACACACTGACACAACACAGGTTTTGTCTAAAACATTGACAAGTGACACACACAAAATAGGTTTTGTCTGACACACTGACACACACAACACAGCTTTTTGACGGACAGATGACACACACAACACAGCTTTTTGACGGACAGATGACACACACAACACAGCTTTTTGACGGACAGATGACACAACAACACAGCTTTTTGACGGACAGATGACACAACAACACAGCTTTTTGACGGACAGATGACACAACAACACAGCTTTTTGACGGACAGATGACACAACAACACAGCTTTATGACGGACAGATGACACAACAACACAGCTTTTTGACGGACAGATGACACAACAACACAACTTTTTAACACAGCTTTTTGACGGACAGATGACACAACAACACAGGTTTTTGACGGACAGATGACACAACAACACAGGTTTTTGACAGACAGATGACACAACAACACAGGTTTTTGACGGACAGATGACACAACAACACAGGTTTTTGACGGACAGATGACACAACAACACAGGTTTTTGACGGACAGATGACACAACAACACAGCTTTTTGACGGACAGATGACACAACAACACAGCTTTTTGACGGACAGATGACACAACAACACAGCTTTTTGACGGACAGATGACACAACAACCAGGTTTCGTCCAACAAACAGAAAACACTAGAGAACTACCTCAAGCAGAAAACACTAGAGAACTACCTCAAGCAGAAAACACTAGTTAAAGCAGAAGGAGTTTTGGAAACGACTTAAGCCCCCGTCAACACATCGTGGATCTTTGAGGCCTTTCACCATACAAGGCTGCTTTTATTTCATCAAGAGCAAGGTAACTGAGCAACCTTCAATATTATTATACAGGTGTCTCCATATGCTCCAAATTGACGAGTTCCCGGTGCCGCCCCGCCGTGACACATACACAGTCTAGCATGCACACAGCGAAACGAGTGGGATGTGGAAATCTTTTCATTAAGTATGAATTTCCCTACTTACATATTTTAAATATAAAAGAATAAAAATTCTCAGGACAAATTTCGGGACCTGCGAATCAGTTGGCTATGTGTGAGCTTCACGACCACCTAGAGCAATGTGTATCACACGCAGGCGACAAAATCTAAAGCACCATAAAACATAAAACATACAGCATACAAAATAAAGCATGAAACGTAAAACATAAATCATAGAGCATAAAACATCAAACATACAGCGTAAAACATAACATATAAAACATAATACATACAGCCTAAAATATAAAACATAAAGTATAAATCAAAACACATAAAACACAAAATGAACAGCATAAAAGACAAAATGTTCAGGTTAAAACACAAAACATGCACATGGCCCAAACTCACCACAATGTATCTCAGCTCCTCATCCACATTTGTCTCTCCCTTGTCCTCCCTGTCCTCTAAAGTCTTGTTGGAGGTGTCGATAAACTCCTGCACCGCCGCCAGCTCTTTCCTCAACTTCTTGGACAACTTCAGAGACTTTTCCAGGGCAGCCTTGCTCTGTTTGATCTGTACACAAAGACAAAATGTCAACAAACAGTCACACAAACACAAAATGTAAACAAATTATGGTCACACAGACAAACACAAAATGTCAACAAACAGTCACACAGACAAATACAAAATGTCAACAAACAGTCACACAGACAAATACAACTCCGCCAACCTCACAGAGAGAGCTGAATTTCCCAACAGCAACAGCCGGCCTCCTAGTTCCCTGTGCAGCAAGAGCTTGTCAACTACAGCACTTCACATTGATAAGAGCAGGCTTCGGCCGCCACCCGCGCAAAATTCCAAATTAATTCTTACCAAACTGAAAATGTTTAACGTGTCCCACGAACTCATCTGACCTTATGCTGTTGGAACATCATAAAACACTTACTAGAACGTCATAAAATACTTACTAGAACGTCATAAAATACTTACTAGAACGTCATAAAACACTTACCATAAAACATTTACTAGAACGCCATAAAACACTTACTAGAACGCCATAAAACACTTACTAGAACGCCATAAAACACTTACTAGAACGTCATAAAACACTTGCTAGACACTATAAAACACTAGAACGTCATAAAACACTTACTAGAACGCCTTCAAACACTTGCTAGACACTATAAAACACTAGAACGCCATCAAACACTTACTAGAACGCCATCAAACACTTACTAGAACGCCATCAAACACTTACTAGAAAAAAAGAGAGGTATCAATCTCTCAGAAGGAAAACGAACAACTTTCTCAGACGTTAGCGGATCTCAATATTTCTCCCAACAGGGAAACTCGAGCCTTCCACAGAACAAGTACTGCAAGACCGTGCACGCTCATCAACAAATGGGAAGTTATAATTCTCACAAGAAAATCAGACGCGCTCATATGGCCTTATGTAGTTGCGAGCGCCGTAAAACACGAACTAAAAAAAGAAAAAAAAAGAAAAGAAAAGAAAGAAGAAAATCCGACTTTGGTTGCATTAATTCTAGAATCAATAGGAACGAAACAGATAGAGAAGATGACAAACACATGCCATGCACCGAGAACCGAGACTGAAACATCAACAAAGTACAAACATGACACAGACAGACAATAAGAACCACAAGCCTTGAACACACCTCCAGACTACACACAACAAATCACTACACGTAGCTTAAAAAACTGCACATGACAAATAACTGCATGAAACTACACATGACAAATAACTGCATGAAACTACACATGACAAATAACTGCATGAAACTACACTTGAACTAATCACAACATGTAACTAATCACAGTCTGCACATAGGAGGAGATAACTCACCATAAATACATCTAAATTTGTTATAACATAACTCACATTTCATGCAGGAATAAAGTATGTTACTATAGAAGATAATGAAAACCATGCACATCCATTAGTATTATATAACATTACAGATAGTCTTACATACATCACTTACTGTATATTTAAAGAAAGTCTTACCTATATCACTACTGGTATGTCACATTACAGAAAGTCTTACCTATATCACTACTGGTATGTCACATTACTGAAAGTCTTACCTATATCAATACTGGTATGTCACATTACTGAAAGTCTTACCTATATCAATACTGGTATGTCACATTACTGAAAGTCTTACCTATATCACTACTGGTATGTCACATTACTGAAAGTCTTACCTATATCACTACTGGTATGTCACATTACTGAAAGTCTTACCTATATCACTACTGGTATGTCACATTACTGAAAGTCTTACCTATATCACTACTGGTATGTCACATTACTGAAAGTCTTACCTATATCACTACTGGTATGTCACATTACTGAAAGTCTTACCTATATCACTACTGGTATGTCACATTACTGAAAGTCTTACCTACGTTATTAGCAAAGACAATCAAAGTCACCAAAACCTTGTAAATCTCTAGAATGTTCATATAAAAAATTAAAAGAACATGTAAGGAATGGTTGCATCATAAGCTGGTAAATTCGAAACAATTAAGAAAAAGGATTTTTTAAAAATCAGTTTAACGTGACAATATTATCATCTTTCTGTGCTGTAAATTCAACATGAACTTAAAGAATAATTTTGAACTCGCAGAAACAAAAATGGCTTAAACTAAAAAAATCATAAACTCAGTAGTAATTACATTATGTAATGGGTTTTTTAATTTTCTTTTTCTTAAGCACAAAATCTTGACATTGAACTTTGTAGATGTAAAATTGCTCAACTGTAGAAACTGACAAGCCCCCAACTCTCCCAGCACAACTACACAAGGTGAAAACTCTAACGTAGAACGACAAAAGAACAGTGAATCCTCAAGCTTTATTTTTTACCTAGAGAATCACAGTAGAGTAAGTTAGACTGTGGTATAGTAATTTAGACCGTTTATTTTTTACCTAGAGAATCACAGTAGAGTAAGTTAGACTGTGGTATAGTAATTTAGACTGTTTATTTTTTACCGAGAGAATCACAGTAGAGTAAGTTAGACTGTGGTATAGTAATTTAGACCGTTGTTCAGCCTTTACCTAGAGAATCACTAGGCAGTAATTTAGACTGATGTACAGTCTTTACCTAGAGAACAACATTATAGTAATTTAGACCGTTGTACAGTCTTTATCTAGAGAATAACATTATAGTAATTTAGATCATTGTACAGTCTTTACCTAGAGAATAACATTATAGTAATTTAGACCATTGTACAGTCTTTATCTAGAGAATAACATTATAGTAATTTAGACTGTTGTACAGTCTTTATCTAGAGAATAACATTATAGTAATTTAGACTGTTGTATAGTAATTTAGACCGTTGTTCAGTAATTTAGACAGTAAATTCAAACATTCCCTACCACATTTTATGGCCATGAGACGTATTTGCATAATGTAAAATTGGAAAATGGGACTAGGGATTTCAGCCTGAACATTGCATTATGTCGTTTTTAAAAGTGACTTATCCTCATGCCAAAACAGGGAAAAAAAAGTGCTTTGATAAGTTAAAGAAATTTATTCTTTATTAAAAAGTCCAGGATATATAGAATAAGAAAGATACAAAAGTAGCAGCTTGAGCCCAATGTATCTCAAAGTAATGATTCTTCTAGCTCACACAGTTGTGCCACTGTCATTTATTTCATAAGCTTGAGAAGAAACTGACATATCAATTACATATTATCATGCATATAAAGTTGACGGCATATTAATTAAGGTGATGCTACCAATAAGAGAAGACTCCAAACGCTGATCTTACTGAGACTGAGACTGAGACTGAGACTGAGACTGAGATGTTCTCCTCCTGTTTCTGTTAGTGCCACTCATCTCTTGTCATGCGGTTAGGAATGTTCTCCTACTGGGTCCACACATGTGTGCGCATGTGTGTGTGCGTATATGTGTTTGGTGAGTGTGTGTGCCTGTGTGTGTGTGTGTGTGTGTGTGTGTGTGTGTGCATGTGTGTGTGTGTGTGAGAAGTTGTGAGAGAGAACTGCCCGGTTTTTGTCCTTGTTCCTCGCGTGAGAGACAAATCTCTGACCACAGTAGATCAAACTGAGACCAAGAGAGTGGAGGTTTGTAATAGTCAAACATTTGTACTAAGAAACGGTACATTTTCCTCCACTATATTGCTATGTCTGTACGTCTTTGATTCTGCGAAAGATCTTGTCAGTTTGTTAGTGTTTGAGCGCTTAATCGGCTGCTCGCACTGTATGCTTCCCGGGAAGCTGAGAATGTTTCGGAGTGTTCTATGGTCTGCTGGGGTAAAAATATAGTGTGAAGCGCATAGAGCTTGCTGTTGAGCGGGGATATGCGCTATACAAATGCTATCTATCATTATTATTATTATTATGTCTGTATGTTTCTACATCTGTAAGTGTCAATGTTTCTACATCTGTAAGTGTCAATGTTACTACATCTGTAAGTGTCAATGTTACTACATCTGTAAGTGTCAATGTTACTACATCTGTAAGTGTCAATGTTTCTACATCTGTAAGTGTCAATGTTACTACATCTGTAAGTGTCAATGTTTCTACATCTGTAAGTGTCAATGTTTCTACATCTGTAAGTGTCAATGTTTCTACATCTGTAAGTGTCAATGTTTCTACATCTGTAAGTGTCAATGTTACTACATCTGTAAGTGTCAATGTTACTACATCTGTAAGTGTCAATGTTACTACATCTGTAAGTGTCAATGTTACTACATCTGTAAGTGTCAATGTTTCTACATCTGTAAGTGTCAATGTTTCTACATCTGTAAGTGTCAATGTTTCTACATCTGTAAGTGTCAATGTTTCTACATCTGTAAGTGTCAATGTTTCTACATCTGTAAGTGTCAATGTTTCTATGCTAATCAGAGACATATACGTAAACTGAGCTTATGAGAAAGTGGGCTTTAGTAAGCTTGAAAACACCGCATAGTATTAATAAAGAGAACGAGAAATGTGTTAGAGAGGTATTCGTCCATACAATAGAGAGAGAAATGATTTTGGAGTAAAACGAGAGAGAATTTAGGCAATAACGTACTGGAAACGGAAAAGAATGTAAAAAAAAAGAAATGTAACCAAGAGGGAAACTCTTCAGGCCGACAAACTGTGGTGACAGAACTACTGTAAACAAGAAAATAAAAATGAATACATTAAATCTACCCGTAACTGAACACCAAAAAAAACACACAAAAACCACCAACGGTTGCCAAAACAAACCCAAAGCCATGCCAAACATCAACAGCCCATCCAAAAACCCTGCTGCCTACAGCAGCAAAGTTCAAAAGTTCAAAGTTCACAGTGTAAAGTTCAAAGAGTCAAGTCCTGTGGTACCTGCGCCCCCAGCTCATTGTAGAGCTGTTTTATGGCATCCAGCTGTTTGCTCAAACAATCGGGAAAGTCCACTTGCTTGTGCTCTACAATCTGGCGGCCGGTCTTCAAGACCGTCTCCACTTCCGGCTTGAGCTCGCTCATTGTGCGGTAGAATTTCTGTCACAGCAAAGTAGGACCAACAGTTGTGTGTCAGACAGACATTAGGGACATCAGACAGTTGTGTGTCAGACAGACAGACAGACATTAGGGGCATCAGACAGTTGTGTGTCCGACAGACATTAGGGGCATCAGACAGACGTTAGGGGCATCAGACAGTTGTGTGTCAGACAGACATTAGGGGCATCAGACAGTTGTGTGTCAGACAGACATTAGGGGCATCAGACAGACGTTAGGGGCGTCAGACAGTTGTGTGTCAGACAGACATTAGGGGCATCAGACAGTTGTGTGTCAGACAGACATTAGGGGCGTCAGACAGTTGTGTGTCAGACAGACATTAGGGGCGTCAGACAGTTGTGTGTCAGACAGACATTAGGGGCGTCAGACAGTTGTGTGTCAGACAGACATTAGGGGCATAAGACAGTTGTGTGTCAGACAGACATTAGGGGCATCAGACAGTTGTGTGTCAGACAGACATTAGGGGCATCAGACAGACGTTAGGGGCGTCAGACAGTTGTGTGTCAGACAGACATTAGGGGCATCAGACAGTTCAGAGACAGGGGGGAAAACTCAGGAGGGAGGGGGGAGAGGAGGTAGGAAAGGGAAGGAGAGTTGGAGGAGCAGGAAGAAGAAGTAGAGGAGGAGGAGCAGGAAGAAGAAGTAGAGGAGGAGGAGGGGTAAACAACAAGGACAAATATAGATTAGGCTAATAAGAAAGCTATGGAAAAGAGAAGAAAGATGGGAGGAGGAGGAAAGAGGAGGAAGAAGAAGAGGAAAGAGGAGGAAAGACAACGCCAGAGTTCACTAAGCGTGGACATTTGTGCACGACACGGTGGAATCAGGCGCTCGTCAAATGTTGGGCATGTGTAGTTAGTAGTGTCATCTGAAAGCTGATTTATTTCCCTTGCTTTCGATGATTAAAAAAATACCCATCTATCTTGAATAGAAGTCGAGTTATCTGCAATTGAAGGAGGTCAGGGTCGCCTGGTTTCAGAGGGAAAATAAGCGAGAAAATGGCTGCCAAAGTTTGGCAATTCCAATAGCTTGAAAGTCCTT